CCAAATCTCTGGCTGGTTTTCATCAAAGAAAAGAAATCCAATGAAATGTTGCGGTGCTGAAATATATTATATATACCGTATTTTCCGGACTATGAGTCTCAATTTTTCTTTCATAGTTTAGCTGGGAGTACGACTTATACTCTGGAGCGACTTATAGTCCGGAAAATACGGTAACTATATTGTAGACACAGTTGACATTTGCCAAAAAAAAAAAAAAAATTCACAATGGATTATTGTATACCTAAAAAGTTTCCTCACAATCACATCTCATTCTACTTATGTTGCATGCATTAATCAAAAATACTACTGAAAACAATCATATGTTCTCTATCAACAATACTAGTTTGTTTGAACTTCTTTCAAAAGAAACATCTGTCAGCATGATGCATTTCTTTGAAAATATTTGACCGTTTACAGATTTTTTTTTTTCTTTTGTCACTTCTAAACGTTTTAGATAATAACATATATTTCACTCATGAAGAATAACGTGATAAATAAAACATGCAGCTTAATTTTTAAATCTTGATTTAATTCATTAATGAATAAACCTGCCCAAACCAACCTGGATCAATGTGCAAACATAATTGCCACTTTAAACTTAGGCTGCATTCACACCTGCCACATTTGGTCCACTTCAAATGGACCAGAGTTTGTTTCCCCTGTTGGTCTGGATATTTTGTACAAGTTTGAATACGATCAAGTGAATCCTGTGCAGACTGAACAACAAGACCAAGACCCATTTTATGAGGTGGCTTGAGACTGATTACAACTGAACTCTGGTGCGGTTTGCTTCTGGTGAAAACTGACTGGCTTCATGAGCCACTGTTGATGAGCATCATGGCAAAAATGTGTTAACGCTACTACTACAGGTACTGAAGTCATACCTGACCCGCTGTTTTCTGCTTAGCTCCTGGCAGCATGTTGAGGGTCGAGGGCAGCAGAGCACCTTGTCTCATTCAGCTAGCATCATGCATTGCTGATACCATTCCAAAATTAGAAATATCACATAGCAAAACGGGCATCGCATGAGCTGCTCTTGACATTCAAAATGGTACTGCAGTTTTAATGACAGCACAAATATGCAAAGCAAAAATGCAAAAAGCAGGATTTCCAACGTTTGTTTGTCTGGGTCTGCGATCGGTCGCACCCTCTGTCATTTTTGTCCAATGGAAGCAACGATTGTCACAAGGGTTGATTGGAAAAAAAACCCCTCACCAAATAAAAAAAATAAAAAATTAAGTCCGGACCAAATCAGAAAACTGGTGTGAATGCACCTTAATAACTGGTTATGATTTAGCCTGTCACATGTCAGCATCTCAATAAGATTTCAGATCGGACTTTGATTAGGTCATTCTAAGGCCTATATTTTGTTTTGGGGGTTTCTGACATTCAGGAGTGGGTTTGCTTCTGTGCTTTGAGTTTCTGTCATGTTGCATAACCAAAGAGTGCTTCAGCTAAAGACAGACTGTTCTTCATTAGAATGATGGGCAGGCTGCTTTAAGTTAGTTATTTTTTTGTTCTGTGAGGGACTTTCTAAATCCTTTTGCTAAGCCAGCTAACTGGCAGTGCACAGCAATACATGGGGGAGGAGCAGAACTCTGCTAGGCTATGCTCCAAATAGCTTGAGTAACTTCTGACATTCTGGAAACTTTATGATATTAAATGAAAAAGGATTTTAGAAGATACAGTGTCATAAGAAGGGAAATAAATTACACCATTTGCAACATGCCAAATAGTATTGCGTCATTATAATCCAACAGTTTTTAACTGATGTTTTAATATCCATGTTTCTTTTTCATTATTATCATAGAAAAGCTTGACCCACAAATTAATCTCCAACCTCCAACTCCGGCTATTATATTAAAATCCATTCTTTTAATCTATTAGCAGCTCAGTATTCAAATAGTATTCATATTTCTTCTAAAACGGCCAGTCTGTGAAATTACTTTTTTTTTATTTCAGGTATAAATTTTTAATAGTAAAACTCTCCGGACTTTCCCAGAAATAAGAAACAGTAGTACCCTTTTATTCTCAGCGAGGGATTTTAGCAATTCCTGGACAGATAGAAGTGTGTTACCTCTTACAATGACAACTGAAAAGATAATTCAGAAACAAAAGTCAAGTCCTTTAAATAAACAATATAGAAGACTTGCAGGATGAAGGATGTTGTCACCTTCCTAAAATAATGACGAGTCTTTTTTTTTAAGTCACTTTTGGCAAAACTACTTATCAGAAGAAGACCCATAAAAGCTGTCTACATGTTAACTTAAGTAATTCAGTGTTACTGTTGTGCAGTTCTTCCTAGATTGATGTAATATTCCCTGAGGTCCTGAAGTGAAAATACTTTAAATACTTTGCAGAATTTTGCCGTTATCGGTATGAGTGCTACTTTCTCTATCTTGTTCAATCTCTTGCTGCAGTATAGCCCTGACTAAGCCAGTTTTCAACACGCCCACCACACTGGAGCAGAGCCAGCTGGGTTTCCTTCTGACTCGGTGGTAGAGCCTCAACATGGGCAACAGATGTGACACTGACACCACAGTGAGATGCTCCATGGTCCACCACCAGCAGGGCTCTTCCTGCGCTGCGTTTGTACAACACGCTGAGTCTGTGTGATCTTCCACTTACAACCCTGCACTCATTAAAAAGGGCAGCCTGGAATGAAAACCTCCATTATCCAGCAGGCATTGTAATGCGGGTGCCACAGCACTGCCACGCTGACATCCTCTAGCACGCCATCCTCAGATTTGTGGCCGCACTGAGCAGCGGATAAAATATTAACCAGCCTTCTGCAAACAAAATTAGCTTTTAATTGGAGCAAGTGGTGCTAAAGAAGGACAGCTGAATCATGGCCCTCATTACAAATCAATCGCAATCCTTGGATGCCGACTGAAGATGGAACTATCAATCCAGCAGAGATCAGAATCGGCCAATTTTACCTCAGTGATCAACATGTCACATACTGAAAAGGATAGCTTTTTTTTGCTTGTTTGTTTCTTTAATACACCAGAACTTAAAACTTCCAAACACTTGCAATCTATAAATTGAATTACTAGCAACATGTCATTTTTTAAGAAAAGCATTTAGGCTTAGCATGTCAGCAGAGAAATGAATACTGAACACATATATATTTTTAAGAAAACATATTTTTAACTGGGATATTGACTTGAAATTTAGACATTGTTTTGGTGACTGTCAAACTAATCCAAATGTACAAAGACACAGACATAAATTCGTCCATAGTTTATTTGGGATAATGTAACTAAATGACACGGGGAACAAACGTTTGGAGAATGTAACTGCAAAAGTTGCTCATCTGTGATTTTGACCTTTTTTTTTTATTTATTTATGTTTTGTTTGTTTTGTTTGTTTTTTTTACGAAAAACTGTTTTTAAGCCATGAAGGAGAATTTCTCTTTCATGCAACTTAATCAAAAATTTGTCCGATTATTAAATGTTTCCAATTTGGTCACTGATTGGGTTATTCAAGCAGCTTTTTTTCAAGCATGCTTTTATGATCCCACCACCAAACTTCAATGTTTGTGGTACTTTTTGGGATTTCTTCCAGTTTTTCATTGGCTTGTCCAGTCTATTGCAGTGACTCCAGATCTTCCTAAAGCTCTATGAATTTTGTTGGAGAACTCTTGTGGTCATTTTTTTTTTTGCCCTTTTTTCCACAAATCATTTGCAGAGCCTCTGGTTTTGATTGAAATATTTTTTTCCCCACTCCTCGAATATGCCCCCAACAGAGGTCATTAGGACATTTACAAAATGTAGAAACCAACCTTTGACCAATGTGATCATTTTGCACCAATAAGGATGAGAAGGTGTTACGAGAGAGCTTTGCTTTTACCAATCATGCCATCCTTCTCTGTGCAACACCTTGGGAAACAAACATAAAACGTTTTGACTAAACTGGCTTATTTTAATTTGCATTCAGAGACAAGAGGATTGTTTCCTAAATATTAACATATTTCATCAATTTCATAAGCATTTTATGTCTTTTAACACTTCCTTCAGTCAATACTTTTTCCCTTTGTCAATCCATTTATAGAAATGTAATTTTTAACAAATAACTTCATTTATGAACTCACTTGTTTTAATTTGTGCAATACCAGTCTCTGGTATGAATTTCATGACCCATATTTTTATTTTTGATCCTCATTTTCACCCAGCTTACAAGATTATCGCTGTAAATAGCGATAATCTTGTAATTCTTTTATTTTCTGCTCATTTCAAATCTGTGACATCTAGCTAACAACTTGCAGTGCAGTTTTTTTTTTCTTTTTGTTGAGTTACAGTCTTTGAAATAAAAATTCAGATTAAATCTCGAAGGAAACTGGAAGTGGTATCGACCAGGAAAAGTCATAATGGTGAATCTCTGAGGCAGACTTGTTTCAAGATTCACTGCTGATTGATGTCAGATTATGGACAACCAGCAGGAAAATCTTCTTTTTCTTTTGAACCACAAAAACTACAGCACTTCTTTCAGTATGAAGGATAAGACTTCAAACAGATGATAGTTCTTGATCTTATAAGTCAAAGGTTTTTGCTCATTCATAAAAAGAAGGGGGGGATTGTGCAATCCAAATGATTATTAAAAACCCTATAAAAATACAGATTTTTTCTCTCCGGACTAAAATTGTGTCTGTTTTACCAAAAACAACAGAGCCAATTTGAGTAATTTAACATCCACAAGTCATTACTTCATGAAAAATGAATGAAATAGCCTATTCCATTCTCTCAGCAAGAGTCCTGCTAAAGGGAAAAATTCCCAATAAAAACAGGATGTTGACATGACATAACAAGTTACATATCGGCATGCAGCAGCCACACTCATGAGTCGACAGGTGAAACAGGCAAAATCATAAATTTCAACTCAGGAAAGGGACTGACGATGCAACAATGCATCCTGATGAGCCCCATCCGACACGTCAGTCTATTTATTACATAAAAATCGCAACGTCCCGTCGATAACACAGAATTTATCAGCGGTCTTACCTCTTTCATTGTGTTGTAATCAACTGCAGATGGGTGTCGGTCACACAAGAATAGTTATCCGGCTCCTACATGCCGTCAAGCCAGCTGTGGAGCTCTACCAGCCTGATGAATTTTAATAATAGTCCTCTTCTTATTCCTCTGTCACTGCGAGCCGGTGCGCGTTCCGCGGTCCAGCGGTCGTGCTTCAGCAGTTTCACCGGTTTCCACGGGGAGCCATCGCGGAGGAGGTGGAGGGGGAGTGGGAGGGTGGGATGCAGTTTGGAGGCTGCCGCCGGTGATGCTGCTGCTGCTGCGGCTGCTGCTGCTGCGGCAGCGTTCAGGTCCGTCGAGACGCGGGATGAGAGCGGTGGGGGTGGGGGCATCCGAGGGCCCACGACTGAGCACTCGGCTCCGAAAATGAACTCATCGGAGCCCAGATCTCGGCTGATGAATCATTATGAGTGAGCATCATCAGAGAGGGAGGCAGCGCGGGTGCGTGAGCGTGTTGTTTATTCTTCCCGTGTGTCAAGAGTGATGCTGCTCATTGTTGGCTCAAGAAGAGAGAGAGACAGAGATGAACGACTCTCTCTATCTCTCTTATGTTTCTTTTAAGAAACATAAGTTTTGAGCGAGGTCGTTGGTGTTTATCATCCTGCGACTTGTCAAAATCTGTTGCGTCATTCATGCAAGCGATTGAAAATAACAGATTTTCGAAATAATATAGCAAAAAGTGGCTGAATTTAGTAAATATTTCAATCCCTACAAAACTCTCATCTGTAATAACTTCCCATAAAAAAGGCAAAAAGCTTGACTTAAAATTATTTCAACATTCATGTTTAACTTCAGTATATAGAGAAGCATGCTTTGATAAGGCGCAGTTGCCCAGGGTGGCATTAGAAGGGGGATATATAATGTTGTGATACCCTTATGTGTTGTACACTCAATGTTTGCATTTCAAATGTGTGCAAAACTATCTGAAAAAACACTATTTTGTAATTGTGGTGTTTCCTTTAAATAAGAAACGCAATTTAAAACACAATTGAATAAGTTTGCTCATGCCATAAGTCATTAAAAACATGCTGCACCATCATCCTCCAACTACTTCCTGGTTTCCGCCGGTGGCAACGTCCGGTTGTTGATCATGTGACTCGTGTGACGCAAAAAAGTGTTTCCCTTGCAGTTTTGTGAAATAAACCAATTTCAATACAACTAAAAAAAACCCCATCTCATCCTGCTCCAAAACTTTTTAATTGATTTTATTTTTGTAAATTGGTGTGTTCCCATTGAGCAAATTTATTTTTAAAATGTTAAATTTCAGATTTACACCTAGTGAAGCTTTGTTTAACAGGCACTTCCTGTATTAGTTTATGTTTAAATGACTAAATGACTTTATTTGTTTCTTTAACATATATATATGCAACTGGGAAAAATTGAAATATTGCGTCCCAGTTCTAAATGGTACGGAAGGATAATATGATTAAGATGAACCTTTTTAACTCTTTTCTTTTCGTCTTAAATGTTTCACAAAATGATCTGGTTGTTTGTCATGTTCTTAGTACTAACAGAACAGGTTAACAAAACTTTGAATTAAATAGTAAAGAACATTATTTTATGCCTTCATTTTAATATTCTTCAGAAAACTGTTGCAGAACTGATAACTTTGTGCTTGTTGGAGGTACTGCATGTTTCTTTTTGTTTCTGGTTTCCTCTGACTATATAAAATAAAGGAAAGAAAGTCAGCAATATTTAAAAATAATACTTACAATTTTTTTATGGTGCCATAAGTTGTGAAATTAAATATATTTGATCGTAAGTATGCAGCCATATTCAATTAAAATAAAATATTGTTGAAAGTGAATTTATCTACATAATTTAATTAACTAATTGAAACACATTGTGTAGATTATTTACACATAAAAATAAAGTTTCCGAGCCTTTATATCTGTTAATTACAGTGATTTTTGACCTTCAGCTCATGAAAAAAATTACATTTCATTTTTTCATGAGCTGTAGGTGGTAAAGCCACACTTTTCAGATATTTATACACCATTCTGAAAACTATATGTTCTTCTTCAAAAGTTTGTGGGGGTAATGTGATAAAATGTGAAAAGGTTGAAGTGGTCGGAACATTTTTTTTGTATAGGAACTGTGTTAAACGAATGGATAAAACATAAATCATCCTTGTAATTTGCAGTCTGTTCAGATTCCCGGCAAACTCCCAGTTTGGGAACCGCAATAGCTTTTTTCCTCTTTTTGTTATCATCGAAGAAAGTCTGTTCATCTGCTGACATTCTTTAAACAGATAAAAAGAGGTGCATGAAGCTATAAATAGTGCTGTCTGTGTGAGCAAAAAGAAACAAGAAGAAGAAGAAGAAAACAAAAACAGCCAATCACATGTTTTAATGCCTAAACGTATCCATCACTGGTTGCTGACCCCTCTGCAGCTTAAGTGATTGAGCAGACCCTCCGGTTAAAAGAATATTTCTGCTCACCTTTCCTTCAAATAAAAGCCACTTAAAAACGAAAAAGTTTCTTTTATGCAACCATGAGGTCTCTGCCTCCAGCAGCTGAATGAATACGACTAAACCCCAGAATGAAATCAAGCTGACAATAAAACGCAATCTTTACTCCCCAGAGTAGTGCCCACGACCACGAGCATTAAGGATGGCTGACTGGATAAAACCATGACAAATCTCATCATCTGACCTGTGGTTCAAAATCCAAAGGAGGGACAGAGGCAGCCAGTTGTGCAATTTTAAAATGAGTCATTCAGTTGCACCTTTTTCAAAAAGCAGAGGAAAGTTGTCTGGCAAGGTGTCTCTGAATAAGATGGAGGATTTCTATAGCTCTGCTTTCATAGCTTCACTCTGGCTTGTTGGATATCACTTCATCCATTTTCTAAACGTGCTGAAGAGTTCTCAAGGGAAGGCCAGGACTTTTAGTCCGAATCCTGACCGATGGCGACACTTTTAATCATTTTAAACGCTTAGAGTTGATCAAATTTTGTTAGATTCTGTTTACTGTTTATTTCAGGTTTTTGAAAGCTGACCACAAGATCTCACTAATAATGCACAAATTATCATCAAATTATGGTTGAATCATACTGACATTTTTGCTAAGGGCAGTTTATCCTGGACAACAAAACAGTTCTCAGAGGTGTCTCATGTTTTTCTCAAAACAATACTTTTGATGGGCCAGGATTTTGTGTTTTTGATAAAGCTTGAATTGAATTACATATATCAAATAAAAAAAAAAATTAATGAGAAAGTAAAACTTTCCACAAGCACATCTGCTCCTCTTTTACAGCATTCAGTCTGTTAATAAGATTGTCTGGTTTCAGTTGTGATGTTTCACAGCTTCACCTGTGATTATAAGACTTTTTAAATGAATTTTGGCAAAAAAAAAAAAAAAGATTTATTTGTTAACTCTTATTTAAAATATATTTATATTGTTCTAAAAGTGTTTTCGATAATAATGCATCTCACATCAATGGACAATAATTCAAGTTGAGTGCAATACTGCAACTAAAACTGAAACTCCATAGTTTGCAAAACATAACATTGAGGATGTCAGCTTTATACTGCAGACAGTGTTTGGTTTGATGGAAAGAAACCTGGGTTTTTGTGGGGGGGGTTCTAATTTTTTTCTATTTTTCCATTTGCTTTGTAAATTTATATCATTGCCTGTTGAAGCTGATGACTTGAAAAATGATAATTTTTTTAAGTCATCAGTCAAAATGACTGATGACTTAAGCTTGAAATTTTGTGTTCATACCTATGACCCACTTTTAAATTCTCCATAAGCGTATCCGTAGCATTTCTGAAGCCTTCATAGAATAACTTTATGTTTACTAAGACAAAGTTCTGTACACAGATTCCTTTTATTGATTAGGTGATTTGGTAAGACAGCTAACTATTTAATCATTTTTTTCAGTCCACTAATTGACTAATTGAAATCCAAATGAAGTTTATGGCTGTAAACTTCATTTGGAAATTTATATGGAAAATATGAATATGGAAAAGTATAATACCGATGTTATGCACCACAGTTTGAACCAAAGGAAGAATATAACATCAGTGAGAACTTTTTTTGCCCTTGTCTCTTCTTTCACTTTTTGGACGCACAGTGACCAGATCAGTCCAGTCATTCAGTGACAATCTCCTTTATGTAAGGATGTTTATAATGTTTTTTATTATTATTATTTCACATAATTTCTTTTAAACACATAAATTATTATTATTTATTTTTTTATGTGAATTTAATTTTGTGTGCCTGCTGGTTTGAACATCATTTTAAAGACAGAGCTCGAAAAAAAATGTCTCATAATTTTTGAGACATACAGCCCTGGCAAACTGAGTACCAATAAAGTATTGATGCTTGCAGTTTTTCTAAGCTGGAAACATATTTTACATAATAAACTGCATGTTGGATTGTGAGGTGGTTAGTAAAACGATGTCAAATGACAAGGGAGTGAATTCTGCTGTAAGACTTACACCAATGTGCTCTTAATGAGAATGCTTCTAGTTGAGCTGGAATTTAAACATGATTATTTATTTAGATTCTCTGTCAGATTTGTCTATCCCCATTTGCCTTCTGCTGTTTTCTGGATGCACACGCTATCTGGCAAATGCTTTTAGTTGCACTAAACATATTTGCTGATAAAGTGTGGAACAGGGTGTTTCTGATGCAGACTGCAGCCTGCACTTGATCCAGGCTCCAGAACAGACATCATTACTATGATATTTAGTACAATATTAGGATGTTACCTGGAGCAGCTGGATAGACTGGGTCAGTCTGTTATTTTGTCACTAAATTGATATTGAGGATTTTTTTTTAACTGTTTATTTTTAATCCTTTGTTAGAAAGTCAATGTTGTTGCTGACATGTTTATACAAATGAAATCAAATTTATAGTTCATTTATACACTTCAGGAATTAGAAGAAACTTAGAATCCAGATAAATTAATCTCAAGAAACATCTCATTACCTTAGATCACATGTGTCAAACTCAAGGCCCGGGGGCCAAATCCGGCCCGCCATAGCTTTTTATGTGGCCCTCCACAGATTAGACTAAACACTAAGTGTGATTAAATATTATATTGTCAATCATATCAATGCAGTTTTTATCTGTTTAGTGCCAATTTATATCAATAAATCCCTCCAGTTTCTTGAGAATTTAGCTGATGTATGATTATAGTCCATGATTTATACAGC